CAACCAATTACTCTTAAAAATAAAGACAAAACCACCTGGAATTTTCCTGCCCGATGTTAGTTTTTTTTTTTTTTTTTTTTTTTTTTTTTTTTTTTTGTCTTTTTCGTGACCGGTAAGGGGATTGCAACCCTTGGTGCGGTGTTGCCCGCACCGCGCTCAGCCAGTGAGCGCACCGGCCATTCCTATACAGGATCCGAACCGGCGGCGGGAGCGACGCTGTGCTCCCAGCATCGCACTCTCCCGAGTGCACCACGGGGTCGGTCCCCGATGTCAGTTTTTAAAGAAAGAATCACTGATGAGAAAAAAGAATTATTTTACAGAACTCCATACTCAAAATGAGTGAAGACAGACTAATTTTCTTCAAGCTGACAAAAAAACAGGACATACAAAATATAATTAGCAGTCAGCAGTCCTAGTTCATTTCATGTTCAGCAGTTGCTGGGTAACACTCTCCTTACCTAGTTAAATGCCAACTGCCTCTGATGCTCTTGGGCAGATATCATGGAGAACAATATAGGACAGGGATCTGTAATGCTATATTACACAAGATCATTTCAAAATTAGCCTGGATTAGCTGGAATGACCTGTGAGGTTTCTATGTTTTTCCTACCAGCTATGTGACTGAGCATTGGCTCATAACATAAACTACATAAACTACACTGGCTTTAAAATTAGATTGGAGAATATAAAATCCATATTTCAGAGGCTGAGGAGGCACAGTAGTTAAAAATAGTTTGGGCTTTAGAGTCAGAAAACATGATTAAATACCACCTCTACCACTTACAAGCCATGTGACCTTGGCCAAGTCATTTAATACCTAAGACCTTATTCCTTCATTTGTGAAATGAGATGGTAATAATTACCCCTAGTGTGACTGAGATATGCATAACAATCACATAGAACAATAACTGGCCCATAAAAGGTAGTTATTATCATTATTATGATACCACCTCTTCTATTCAGATCCAGCAGCAGCATCTTCACTAAAGTGATGGGGCTAACTAAAGAAAATACAGGTATAGGTTGAGCACCCCTAATGTGAAAATCCAAAATCCGAAATGTTTTGAGTGCCAACATGACGTTCAAAGGAAATGCTCATTCAGATTTTGGAATGTTCAATTTGTATGTATTCTGCAAATATTCCAAAATCCAAAAAAATCCAAAATCCAAACCACTTCTGATCCCAAGCATTTTGGATAAGGGATATTCAATTGTAGTTAAAAAGACTTCTATGGTCTGGCCGGTTAGCTCAGTTGGTTAGAGCGTGGTGCTGATAATACCAAAATCAAGGATTTGGTATTGGCCAGTCTCCAAAGAAAAAGACATCTAAGAAAGTGTTATTATAATGAAACATTTTAAGCATATGAATAAGTTAAATTATATAATAAACACTGGTGTACCCCATCACTAAGCTTTCAAAAAAAAAAAAATCAAGATCATTTATTTAAATCTGATTAAAATCATACCTGGGATTTTGAAAAACAAAAAACTTGTAATACTCCCTTGTGTTCACCTTCCTAAGAGTATCCCACATATACTCAACTGCCTTTCTTTACATTTCAAGTGTTTTGTCACACAATTACTAAGTACTCTTTCTTAATACTTTGAGCATGACCTTTTTTCTTGTCAAGCCAACCTTTTCCTAATTCCCTTCGTTAGCTGCTTATACTCCAGAGTCAGCATTTTTTCCAAGTTATACCCTTTATACCTGTAATCTTCCTCTTGTCATTTGAGATCACCCTGAAATCTACACTGATAGATAAATACTGATTTTCTTTACAGATTGTTAGGAAGAGTAGGATGAAGTCTGAATCTCCTCGTCCTTCCTCTCTTCCTTCCCTCCTCCCTATGCCCCTGGTATTCACTTTAAAATTTTAAACTTTAGAAGGAGAAAAAAATGGAAGAAAAATTTAAAGAAAAATAAGTAAAATCCAATAGCGGACATTTGTATGTTTTACTACATGCTAGACACTGTTTTAAGCACTTTTTACATAATTTTCTCAAATAATCTTCACAATAACCAGTGTTATTGCTTATTACTATTATCCCTAACTTTAGAGATGAGGAAACTAAGGCACAGCCATGTGGCAGATCTTATCCAGAGCCTGCCTATTTAACCACTGTACTATAAAAATTCAATATCATATCAAACTTTTACTATTTTATTCAGTGAAATGAGACAACTACAAGGTTACATGTGTGAGCTTCATTTCTGTGGAGATAATGTACCGCTTACCTCACTAGTGAACATGGCACAGAAGTAATCGCTACACGCAGCCAGCACAATCCGATGGGCAGGGAAGTCTTTCTGCTCAACTCTCAATGTCACATCACAGAGGGTATTGCTCTTCCTGAGGGAGTTCATTGAATTGAGGATGGATTTAGCATGAGTATTTGTCATTATGTCTTTGGGGGCCATAATGCCTCCCATCAAGCAATATGGAGAAAGAACAGAAGGGGTCCTTGGATTCTGCAACTACAAGAAAAAAAATTCAATAAGCATATTTGAAGAACTAGGGAAACTGAACATATTCAATTAGCTTTACAAATTAAAGAACTCTATCATATCAAACTTTTACTATTTTATTCAGTGAAATGAGACAACTACAAGGTTACATGTGTGAGCTTCATTTCTGTGGAGATAATGTACCACTTACCTCACTAGTGAACATGGCACAGAAGTAATCGCTACACGCAGCCAGCACAATCCGATGGGCAGGGAAGTCTTTCTGCTCTACTCTCAATGTCACATCACAGAGGGTATTGCTCTTCCTGAGGGAGTTCATTGAATTGAGGANACTCTCAATGTCACATCACAGAGGGTATTGCTCTTCCTGAGGGAGTTCATTGAATTGAGGATGGATTTAGCATGAGTATTTGTCATTATGTCTTTGGGGGCCATAATGCCTCCCATCAAGCAATATGGAGAAAGAACAGAAGGGGTCCTTGGATTCTGCAACTACAAGAAAAAAAATTCAATAAGCATATTTGAAGAACTAGGGAAACTGAACATATTCAATTAGCTTTACAAATTAAAGAACTAAGAAGAGGTTTCCTTAGACCCAAACACCCACAAGTAGGAGAGTAGTCCTATCCCTGGCATCACCACCACGATCTAGCCACTAATTATCCCAAGTAAAAGTTACCTCTTCTTCCTCTGAATTCCTTTCTCACTGAGTGTCCCGACTATGTGACACTTTTTATAATCAATACTCAACTGTATTGTAAGTAGAAAGAAACTATACATGTCCTGTACATCTACACAAGGCTGTTGTCTCAAATGATAAAATGATGAAAAAATAAAATTCCTTAAAGGTGTGATATCACTACTATTCAATATCCACAAGTAGGTAAGTATTTAGAGGGTGGGGATTCTGTATATATTTCTTTCTATCCTAGCAGATGCATGATAAATGTTTAGTAATTGAATATAAAAAAAGAAAAATTATGTATTCAACTAGGAGCATGGAGGACAGGGCCAGTGAAAATGAACTTTTTTCTAAAGAAATATGCAAAAAATAACACATGATGACTTCCAAATATATCTTGATTTTTTCTTAAAATGAAACTTCAAATGAGGACACAGTACCTATATAGAATAGTAAAAACCATGGAAGCTGTCTATGGGCTTTCACTTGATTAAACTATTGAAGCTCTTCAATAGGGGGATCTTCCTACTCTATATTATTAGCAATGTTAACTAATCAATATTTATAGTAATTCTTTTTTTTTTTTTTGGCAGCTGGCTGGTGTGGGGATCTGAACTCTTGACCTTGGTGTTACAAAGTGGTGCTTTACTCTATATTATTAGCAATGTTAACTAATCAATATTTATAGTAATTCTTTTTTTTTTTTTTTTTGGCAGGTGGCTGGTGTGGGGATCTGAACTCTTGACCTTGGTGTTACAAAGTGGTGCTTTAACCAACTTAGGTAACTGGTCAGCCCCTATTTGTAGTAATTGTTATATACTCAAACAACCTTATTAGGACATGCACCTATCAAAATTCCTCCACTACTAACTTTATTGCCATAGCCTGTTACTTGCAAAGTTCACTTGTATGCATCATTTAATTAAATCAACTCACTAACAGACTACATATTTTTAAAAAAAATCAATGTACGGAATAGTTTCTTGATTGTTGAGACTTTAGTCATACTATTTTTTCTGTTTTTGTTCAGATACAATTTCTGGGGAATGAAATGGGGGTGGTTATTAAGAGAGTCTATCTTATCTGGAATCCCAAAATTTTCTTAAATAATCCAAGAAAAAAAAAATCAAACTGTGGTTTTCAAAAGTCCACAATTCTCACGGGCTTGGATCCTGGAACCGGCCAGCTGCTTTAAAACAACAACAAAAGAAGTCCACATCTCACAATCATAATTTTTGAACAGCAAAAACGAGATTCTAAGTCTTATCTATTTCTGTTCATGGTTATCATATTGCTCTACAGGCACTCAAAATAATCGCTCCAAAAACTCTGCAAGATCCATTTTACAGGAAAGTTGCTTCATCAAAGCACATAATGTTTTTCGAAAACAGTTCCCTTACATCAACTTAATTTTAACTCAGGAAATGGAAGAAAAGTCTGAACAAATGTCCATTTCCCGTGAAGGTCTTCTTGGAGTTACCACAGTGCTCAGCCCATGACCAGGCTTTACAGTTTCAGTGTCAAAACTGACTAACGTTAGTGCAGAGGGGTCCTTCTGGGGTTTCCTGACTCACTAAAGTCTCAGCACATCCTACACCGTCACCTTTCTGAAGAGATCTGTCCTAGAACTTCTGTTAACATCTGGATAGAGGGGTTCCACCCCGGGAGATTCGAGGGCGGGGAGGGGTATCAAATTCTGGAAAGGCTAAATTCCAGAGAAGGAAACGAGGTCTCTTCCCCTGACATCATCGGGCATACAGCTGGCACCGCCAGGTGGAGGTGTCGGAGGGGCGCAGTTCAGTGGGGGAGTGAGAGCAGCGCGCTCGAGGCTAGATGCCCCCCAGCCTTCCTCCTCTCCTGGGCGTCTCTCCCATTCGGCCTCGGAAGGAGACCAAGGATGGGGGAAGGGCCATAACCAGGAGATGGGGGGTAGGAAGGGAAGGGCTGACTGCCTCCACCTCCGCACAACTCACCTCCGCTCCCGAGCCCACCTGACCGCGCCGGGCCCGTTCCCCGCCCGTGGGGATGGGGTGGGGCGCGGGGCCAGCCGGCGGCTCAGGAGCCGAACGGCCGCCGCCGCCCCGACGCGGAGGCTCTGGAGCCGTCACCGTGGTGA